GATCGGACTCTCCTTTCGAAAGTTATCGTGTAAACGGCCGGCCGGACGGCCGGCCGGACATACTGACCGATTCTAGAGTGTACTCACTTTTTGAGTACACAAAAATCCACATGAAAATCATTGATTATATTATTAATATAATTATAGTTATTATTTTCATATTCAGCCATGTCATCAAAAATAGTATTATTTAAATTGATATACGATCGTAAACCCTTTTGGTTTATAATATCTTTTATTTGTTCATTATCAACAAATAAACGTGAATAATGAAATAATGATATTAATTCAATTAAATGTACATTTTTTTCACATAATATTTCATTATTATTTTCATATGTTAAAAGACATTTTCTTAATGTTGTTATGAATAAATGAACAATTTTTTGTATTACTTGTATTTCATTATCTGTATCTATATCATTGTGATTATAATAAAAAATTAAAACTTTTCCAATTATCCATTGTAATATACGATCTATATTTTTTAACGATATTTCTTTATATGGCAAAAATATTTGATTGTCCATTAAAATTAAATTACATCTTGGCCACTGTACTTCAACATCTTTAGTTTCATCATATGATTTTATTTTTGAAACTATATGTTCTTCCTTATAAATATATTTTAACAAAGTATTAAAATCCATTTTACTTTCTTTTATATCTATAATAAAAAGACAAAAAACAAATTTACTCATTTAGATCATGCGGTAAAATAATAAGTTCTAACCTTTATCTATACATTTGATTTTTCGTGTCAGATTTTTGCATAGTTCCTGTCATCTCAATACAAGTAGAATACTATATTTTTTTCACTGTGTATCATTCAGTACTTTGCTTCTTAACAAAGACTAAAGCAAAGACATCATCTTGAATTTTTTTTTCTTTTTGTAAGTCAGTAATGGTAGTCACTTTGTTTTTTCTATTGTGTGTTCTGTGATCAATATATAATTAGAATAAACGATGTCGCTTTAGTCCATTCCATGCAAATATGCCATATGTATTGATGACGTTAATATACAAAGGTATGGAGGAAAAGTTCACGACATTTTTCCAATCGATATATCTTTGCAGCCGCTTGAGTAATTTTAACAGATAAATAGTCATTTTAAAGAGCATTAAAAGTACACTTATTATGCAAAAATAAAGGTTTTAGCTTAAGAAATAAAAGAGATATAAATGTGAGTATCATTAAACATTTTTTAGGAACTTTTTTTATAATGTACGCCAAAACCTCTTTATAGTGGACACTCTTCGGACTTTTCAAAAGTGTCCACTATAGGGAGGCTAGGTCTTTTTTAAAAGGAAAGTTTTTTAAGGAACAGACATGTTTTCTAAGTATCTGAAGGCTGTTAATGAATAAAATAGCATTTACTATTTATTGTTACTTCTCTTTTCATGCATTTTTGTTCTTAAAAATAAATAGTCTTCAAAATATAGCAAAATGTTCCTGTCTTGGACACTATTGGAACTTTCCAAAAGTATCCACCATACGGAACTATATGACGGTGTCCACTATAGGGAGGTTCATTTCCAGCAAAAAATGATAACTGGGATTTTCAAAACTGCCCATTATATGGAGGTGTCCACTATGCAGATGTTCAATTCCAGCAAAAATCGTTCTGTCGGACTGGGAAGTGTCCACTATGGAAGGTTTTGGGGTGTGGGTGTGGGTGTGGGGTGTGGATCTGGGTGTGTGGGTGTGGATCTGGGTGTGTGAGTGTGGATCTGGGTGTGTGGGTATGGATCTGGATGTGTGAGTGTGGATCTGGGTGTGTGGATCTGGGTGTGTGGGTGTGGGTGTGAGTGAAGAGAACAGACCGACACCCACACCTCCACACCCACACCCACTCACACCCACACACCCACACCCACCCACCCACACCCACACGCCCACACCCACCCACACCCTGTTAGAGTAAGTTGGACTTCCCAAAGCCTTTTGTTGGTTTCATTTTCTTTGATTTCACCCACACGAAAAATCGTGTGCATCGCGAAGAGAATTTCTTGTTCACCTGGAATAGCCGTATATTCACCAATGAGGGAAAATGGAGTTGATGAGGGCAAGACTCTTTCTACATCAATTGTCAAAATAAAGAGGACCCCGACGATGTCCTTGTTTTTCTCCAATGTCTGTTCAACAAATCTCATGGACACATTCTTGTTCATACTGGTGGATAAGAAATTGTTGAACGATAGAAGACCACCCTTAGTATTGACAAGATTCTGAAGGTCTTCCTTTGATAGACCTTGGCCACGGTAAATGATGAATTTCGTTTTGTATGAATCTGATTGTTCTTGATGTAGCTGATTTAGTTGCTTGTGTAGGTGGCGTATATAAAAACCCATCTTCACCATGGTTTCCATGTGCATCTGTCGCAGAGCAAGATTGAGCGTGCCATATACGAACATTTCGCACGTATACCACCATATAGGTGTTTTGCGGTGATAATTTTCCTGAAACTCTCTCAATTCAAGTTCGTTAATACCATGATCTTGACAATAGCTCACGAATTTCTTCATATCGTTGACATGGTCATCACTGATTTCGAGTACAATCTCTTTGAATAACAACGTATACATATAGGTTGGTGGCAATCGATTGCAATCGCTTTCACCTGATATTGCTGTCTCAATCATTTGCTTCGATACAAAGCTCATAGAAATCATCTCGTGGTCGCATTGATGAACAAGCTCGTTCAACGATTTGTAAATTAGCTTGATTGAAGTGAAGACTTCTTTAATCTTTGGCCATTCACTAGCCCATTCCTCGTCGTGTGCCCTGTTTCTACAAAGGATGTAAATGGCATCCAATTTAGTCATTCAATGAATTTCCGGAACTAGATGCTGGCCTAAAGCTCCGGACGTCAGGACAAAAGCTTTGTCTTCATCCATTCTATTTAGATACTGTATACATTGTTCCGGTGTCTGGCAAATTTTTACTTCTTGAACAACCTTGCGCAGTTCTGATAATGTGTTTCGACAATCATCGTTGTTCTTATCAATGTTTTTGTCGACCCAAATGAGAACGTAACATGGACGAATTCTTCGTTTTATCGGAACAGTAGTGGTGGATGGGACTGTACGAGCTGCAGCCATTCCAAAATTCTTGTTAAACGTTCAGTGGCTATACACAGTTTTTAATGATATGCTGTTGAATTCAAATGAAAAATAGACTACTTTACAGCCTTTTTCTAGCTTCAATACAGTTCATTATCTTTGCTCGTTATTATTCTGTTTGTCATTGTTATCGTATGATAATTTGTGCTCTCTCTGCCAGATAAGGACAAACATCACCTAGTAACTTCAATTCAGCATCGCCTCGCAAACCTTGAGTGTAGTACAAAAGAGTTATCCCACCAGCTTTGTCGATTCTGCTTTTACTCTTTTCTACTTCCATTTCTATTTTAGAGTGTGGGTGTGTTGGGTATGGGTGTTGATCACCTCTTAAACAACAACTACACCCACATCCAAATTATACTATAAATATCCTCTTGAAGAAAAATAAAACACTTGAACATACGATCGAACAACGTATTTTCATAAAACTAAAACAAATATTGTTATTTTTTTTTAATAAGAACATCAACACAAATATTTATGTGTTTGTGAAAGATATCTTCATAAATCTAATCTTATCATATTATTTTATTTATTGTCAATGGTTATTGTCAGTTAAAAAAATCAAGTGATCAAAATCTTTGTTTTCTAATATTAAAATGTTCGCAATGTTCGATATAGAGAAAAATGAAGCAAAATGATTTGTTAAACTCATTTTATCTGTATTACAGATGCTGATTGTTTTAGTAGAATCAACAAATATTATTAGAACAGTTTAGAATTCGATATTTTTCTAAACTTAAATATAACTAAAAAATGAATATTTTTACTAAATACAAACGTGCTTACCTTTGGAGAATTTTTCTAAATTAATGTAGATTCTTTACTAAGAGCTCATTCAAGTTACTTGTTGTAATTAAAAATATATGTTTTGTTCTTTTTTTTTCTATTGGACATCAACCATCTGTGATGAAAAAACATTACATTATTATTATTAAAACTATTGAGAAGCCATTGACAAAAAGAACTATTTCTAGATATAAATTATTTTCAATATGATGATGATAGTAGAAGCTTTTTATGTTATACATCTCGTATAGAAAATTTTAATATTCTAAAACGCTTTTGTATCATTGAAAAAATATTCTTTTACTTGTAGTTTTTTAATTAAGGAATGAGTTATTTTTTGACATAATATTAATGCAAGAAAAATCTCTTGATTAAATCAATATTCCAAATGTAAAATGAATTTGCTTACCTTCATCTTTTCAATATAAATCTTGCTAAAACTTCACTTCATTTTACTCAATTCAATGAAAAAGTCATCATTTGCAATTTCCAAACGATTGTTTAAATAAACATTTATTTATTTGATTTTAACATGTTTTACTAAAACAAACTGTGAGACATACATGTTCATCATTTAAAGTCGTATCTTTATTCTCGTTAAAATAAATTTTACAGGCAAAATAAAGTGCTAAATAAAGAAAAGTTGACAGATTTTTTTAATTTTAGCTGATTATGAAATTACACTTTGTTCATCTTTGGGTATCTGTAAAAAGAAGCAAACACTCACATCTTTTCTCAGTGAGTAGGCCTACTTGACTTAATTACATACCCAAAATATTAGATATTAATATTTTAGCCTTAGAAAAATAAAAAGGATATATTTTCTCAATTTTAAGCTTTATTTATAATTGAATTTTGTATATAGTTGCTGTAAACATATCCAATCGATCACTATTATCAATTACCGTAATTGGAAGTATAGAATATCATATACACTACCGAAGTACAATAGAATCTCAGATAACAATGTGAGACTCAATACTCAACAAAGATATTCGAAGAGGAGAAATATAGCACAGCAAATCATAAATCGAAATATAAAACGAAAAGAAAAGTAGCAGCAACTAAAGAAGAAGAGGATACAACGCTAATGGTAGCGTATATGGTACTCTAGACTATCAAATACGTTAATTGATCATAGAGATCTATTGGGTGCGTTCAGATGTGCTGTTTGCAAAATTTAATGATAAAGTTCAAATTTGAGAAAACATATTCTATCTACTTTTCTAAGGCTAACATATAAAGCCTGATGTTTTGGGTTTTGTCTAAATCAAATTAACCTACTTAATGGTAAAAGATATAGGTGTTCATAGATGTTCGCATCTTTTACAGATACCTTTTATCGTTGTTTTCCATGCCTGAAAAACAAATAATTTTATTAATTAAATGATAAATTATATAATAGACTTTAAGAAACTACGATAAGCACAGATAAAATCATCTATATTAGACGAAGCAAAAATTATTATTTTAGTTTTTTTTTATTGGATGATAATATTTTTCAAAGAATAGATAGAATTTTTTAAAAACTAAATCGTCGTTTTTTTTATTATCATGAAAGATTAAATAGAAACGAAAAATTCACATTTATTTATTGAAGAATCAAAAATTATATAAATTAAAAATTATGCTTTATCAATCAACTGAACATTCGGTTTAGGTATAGTCCATAATCAGTATAAATGCTTTAAATGAAAAAAATTGACCATAGAAAAGAATAATGACAATCGACATGGGA